TAGCTTTATCACTGGTATTGAGGCTTTCCTAGGAGCTGTCTGTTCCTTAGACATGTCTTCTAGGTGTAGGTACTGTTGGTCTTTGTATCTGTCTGAAGAACCTACCTTACCAATTTATTAAGGATGAGAAGTTGCTATCTATTTGGCTCAGCACCCAGGCCTTTGGTCCTGGATTATGATGATTTCACCTCTGACAATCACAGTGTTGTCATACGAGGTAGAAAAGCTGATTATAACTTGTATGACATCTTGGCTAAGATAGTACCATTAGGAATGACAGTAGTACCAAGCATAACTTAGGAACTGACAAACCATGGTAACTATTAATTTGATACTTTTAACCATAAGATCAAGCTGCACAGTTAAATAACGAAATCCAGAATATACCAGGAACTCGCATGTAAGGAGTTTCCTCTTTGTGGAGTGATTTTACCCTGTGTGTAGCAGGGGATTTATGAGGGATAGGGATCTAAAATAGATGAATGAGGAGAGGCAAGACTGGAGGGCAAAGGACGATCACCCAAGTTTTGGAAATTGGAGAATACCACGGGAAAGAAAGAATGAAAGAGAAAGCAAGAAATACTGAAGTAAACCAAAAAGAGAAGAGACAGTGTTCACTCACATGAAAATATAAAATCAAGAGAGATAGTTGAGGGAAGAGAGAACAAAGGTGAATAGAACAACAACAACAACAAAAAAAACAAAGATAAGAAACCTGTGTGAAAAGAAAAAAACCCCAACCTGACAGCAAAAGGAAAATAATCAAAGAAAAAGAAAAATAGTAAAATTCCTCTGGTGTCCACAGTTCTGTGGTACTGTCCCAAGTCAGATCACAGAACTGTGCTGTGTAACCCCACCAAGTTTGCAGTAGGGTTTGTGCTGGGGATGGAGCTGATCTTGGCCTCGGGATGTGGGGACTGTGGCTGGTCTTTAGCTGACAACTTTCTGGCTGTCCACTTCTCCTTAACATGGTTTTCCTCTCCCAGTTGCTGTGGTGCCCCATAGCAAAAGCTCAGGGTTTCTCCCAGACCCATGTGCAGTTGGCTTCTTCCAGACCTGGCACAGCTTCTTCTGTTCACACCACTAGTTCTCTTACACATTGGTCATAGGGTGGGGGATTGCCCTTGTCCTGCCGTAGGCTAAGGCTGCTTGTCTGCTTACACTGCTGGCCTAAGGTTGTTCTGCTGGTCACAGACCAGGGGAACATTTCCAGTCCTTTGTATTTAGGGCTACAACTGTCTTTGGGCAAGCACTGGAGCAGAATCTGGGTGGTTGCAGCTCCTACCTGTCAGCAGAATTACCCCCAGTCTGCTTCCCAGCTACCAACAGTCCACTGTGACTGGATGGCTCTTCCCTCATTCTACTCCAGGATATTGGCAGTGAAGCACCTGGCACAGTTCTGCGGCCGGGGTTCACTCCAAACCCTTTGAAATAAAGTGGTAACCCCGCCCACCTGCTTCTGTTCTACCTGTCTGTGTGCCCTAACAGCACTGGTTCTCCTCACTTACCTGTTGCTGGCTCTGTGGGCCCCCTCAGAAAACAATGTCTTATATTCTCACTGCTGTTTATGAGTTTTTACTGACTCCCTGCCAGCCACCTGGCCATCCTCTGGGCCAGCCACAGCATTCCAAAGAGAAAATATTATAGACTCATCACCAGATGCATACCTATTGTATACTTTTCCATTATTTGGGGAGATTTTAGGAAATGGGATTAAAATGACCATTATGACTTACAAATATTTTTTCTTGTCATAAAGTATTCTCTTTTTTTTTTGAGACAGGGTCTTGTTAAGTATTTTAGGCTGGCCTTGATCTCTATGTAGTCTAGGTGGGCCTCAAACTTACGGCAATCCTCCTGCCTCAGCATCCTGAGTGCTAGGATTACAGGCGTGTGCCACCACAGCCAACTTCATAATAGTATTCTAACGTCACTATAAATGACTGCAATATGCCATCACAGGGCTGTATTAGTCTAACACCCTCATAGACATTTAGGGAGTTGTTCCCCCATTTTTTCATTTTCATAGTAATGAATATTTGAAAATATACATTTTTACAAACACCTTTGTGGTTAGAATCAATTCTTTTAGAGAATTCTAGGTCAAAGGCCATGGACATTTTAAAGATGATAATGATAACAAAATGACAATTACTTATTAATTGTTATGGGAAACTAAAGCCTGTGTTAGAAATGAACTGAAAAATTTTAAGTAGGTCAGAGAAAATATCTTGACAAAAAGAATAGTTGCAGTACTATTTTTTTGTTGCCTAGTTTTGAAGTCTTTTAGCTTTCATGTCATTCTTTCACTATTGGTTTCCAGCTAAGAACAAAATGATTCTAAGGGAAAAGAAATTATTTAAAAGTAAACAATTAAAAATTCAGTATTTGAGGGAATGAGGGATCATGTACAGTGAAGAATAATCTTATCATGTGAATAAATTTAAAGCAAAAGTAGCATTTTTAATTATAGCGAACACTTACATTGCCTTTGTGGAGGGCAGTCTGACAGTAGTTATCAGAACTTACCATGCCTGTGCTCCTTGAGCCAGCAATTCCAATTCTAGGGGTCTATTGTAAAGACATAGTACTCATGTCCTAAAGGATCTTCAGTGGAGCATTGCCTGTAACAGTGAAAAATTGGAAGCAACTTAAATGTCAATTAATAAAGGAATGGTTACATAAACTGAAGAATAGACACTCTATGAAACACTGTGTGTCTATTCGTAAGCAAAAAGTGAACTACAAATCTCCTGAACATGGAAAAAATATATGTTCATTATTAAATGAACAACTCACAGAAAAATGGACTGATCTAATCCAATTAATTTTTTATGAATAACATAGAAAAAGGATTGAAACAATATGTATCCCAGACTGTTAATGGTTATAAGAAATTTTTATTTTATAATTGTACAGGTTAGGTTTTGCTTGAATAGTTTACAAAAATAATATATTCTGCCTGTACTAAAAAAAAAATAGGTTTAAAAGAAAGCAAGTGTATATTATCTGAAATTAATAACAACTTGAGATTTTATTTTGTTTGTGTCAGGTACTGAGCAGTTCATTAAAGGAAACTATAGTACTAAATGATTAGTATAAAGGCTTGCTTAGGGCTGGGGATATAGCTGTGGCGCAGCGCCTGTCTGGCAAGAGCAAGGTCCTGAGTTTGATTACCAGTACCAAAAACAAACAAAAGTAAAGGCTTGGTTGTATTTTCAATCCAGGATATGTCCTTTTACTCTTCCCAACTATTGTCTTGGTTTAGTTTATTTGCTATCAAAGTTGTATGCATAAAAATCACCAAAAGGCCTTGTTAACAATGCAGATACCCAAACCCCATCCTCAGAGATTAGTCAAATAGATCTGGAGTGTGGCTGGTGCATCAACTCCCTACCACAAGGTGCTCTTTGTGAAGACAGCTTGAAGTTCAGTGGAAAGAGTAAGATAGACCTATTTTCTTTTTTAGAAACCTGTTCACTGCTAGTTCTGTAACCATGAGCAAGATTCTTAATAACTCTCAGCCACATCTAAAGAGAGAGATAACACGTTTCAGAAGACTATAATGGGGCTTAAATAAATTAACATACAGGATAGTAGTTGTGATAATGGTTGGCCTACAGAAAGCATCGGTAGGTTAGATTCCCTCCTCATCACATGAAACTTTTTGTAGTCAGGCCATTACCCACCTTGGCAACTCCAATCTTTACGTTCTTAAAAGTTCCTCTCTTGCCAGGGATATAACTCAGTGGCATAAGTGCCTGCCTAGCAAGCGCAAGGTCCTGAGTTAAATTCCCAGTACCACCCCCCCAAAAAAAGTTCCTCTCCTCTGGCTAGCCATGGTGGTCATAACTATAATCCCAACAGTTTTGGGAGCTGAGACAGGAAGATTTCAAGTTTGAGGCCAGCCTGGACAATGTAGCAACTTGACAGGATCCTGTCTTAAAAAGGACTGCGGATGTAGCTCACTGCAAAGACCCTAGGTTCAATCCCTACTGCTGGGGTATAGGGGGAGGAAATTCTCTATTTTAAGTATTTTAAATTACTTGTTCCCTAAATAAACGTCTTTGAGGCCTCTATGCCTTTCCTTCCATTCACAATCATAATGCCTTCTGCTACTGCTTCAGTAATGTCCTCTCCTTTAAAATGCTCTGTTGTCATAGTCCATTACTACTGATTTTTCTGTACCCCTTTCTCCCACTTACTTTCTCTGTACAGTCTGCCCCCTTTACAAAGCATTATGCTCTAGTGATGTGATCCTGTACCCTAAGCAGACACAAATGTGACTTGTGACAGCCTCTGAATAAATGTGTGAACTTAGACAAATTGTTTAGTACTTTCAGTCTTATTTCCCCCAGCATGTGAAGTGGAAATAATGTTACTGGTACACTGTTGTGAGAAATAAAGAGGTGTAACATGTGTGAAGCACTTAGCTAAGGGCCTAACACATAAACATGCAGAAAATAGTACCTGTTTCTGTTATGATAATGATTCTTTATGTCTTTTTTCATATTCATCTTTCAGTGCTTAATGCAGAATATAGTACTGGCACTAAGTAGATTCTCAGTAATTGTTGGATAAAAGAATGACTAGGTCCATGAAAAGATGATAACTACGTATAAAACACACTTGGAAAACTATCAAGCACAGTGTAAAGGTTTACATTGAAGTGCTGAGTTTTCTGATATGAAGCCTAAGTATTATGTTTTTCAAATTTCATTAGGATATAATTAATTACATATAGCTAAATTAAACTTTCAGAAAAAGCAGTTCTTGCATATTAGAGAAATGCCAGGTTATTAGTGTGCTGATATATTTTAAAGGTTAAATTGAAGTTTAACCATTACAATAAAAGCAATCTTGACTTGAGATGTGGTTGAGATGATTTGGTTATACCACAGTCAACATTTAGTAATTTATTGATGTATGGTAGTTTAATAAAACAGTGTTCTGATTTAACAACAACATTCAAAGTTTCAAAAAAATTTTTCTTGTAACAGCAACATTTCATTGAGTTGGATGACAATAGACAACAGTTATTGCAGAAATGCAAGGAACTTATGAAGAGAGCGAGGCAAGTATGTAACCTGGGTGCACAGCAGACCATTCCTCAAGAATACCAGACAGTAAGTATAAAAAATATATAGTGCCACAGTTGCAATAACATTGTTTTTAAGCCTAGAGTAATTTAGGCTTTATAGAGGCCATGAGAAACATGCTATGTCATTAAAAAAAAAAAAAACGGTATTTTTTTCCCCTATTTTTAAACTAAAGATGTATATAAAGTAATTTTTCCTTTTTTACTCAAATGTGGACCCAATAAGTCTTATGCTCAGTACTAAAATTCTTAAGACATAGGAGCTATATTTAAAAATTATTGGTACCATAATATTCATTCTTACAGTAAGAGTGGGCTTTTCCATCTAAACCACTTCTCAGAGCTATAGTTCGGAGACACAGAATATAGCTCTTCATAGAAACATTGTATGAATAATCAATAAAGAGAAACAATAGAGGTGATACGTAGAAAAACAAAGGATAAAAGATAAAAACAATACTGAAGAAAAGACTAATTTGAATTATAATTGGGAAATCCTCAAAGGATTGGGGCATGGCACCCACAGAGGATGGATTTGACCAAGTACATAGTAGGAATTCAGTAGAAATTCATAAAATTAATCCAAGGGCTTCCTGTTTCTAAGTACTAGGACTTCTCCAAAATACATTGTGTTTTTACAAAATAAATTCCAGTACAGTAGTCATGATAATTATTTTAAGAAATATCATGTATCCTTGCTAAGTCATTCTCTTTATAAAAGAAGCAAGATTAGAAGATAATATATCCATTATATATGACACATATTGAACAAGACAGACATATTTTATATTCCTATCTAGAGGATGGCACAGATAAAAATATAGAAAACAGATAGATATTGTCAGATAGCAAGAGATGTTAAGAAGAAAAATAAAACAAGGTAGGGGATTAGATTGACAAGTATGGGAAGCTGGTTGGTGACTGCTCCTTTGAGAAGATACTATTTTAGATAATTCCTCAATGAAGAGAAGAAATCAGTCAAGTGAGGATGTGAAGGGAAAATATCCCAGGCAGAGTAAACAGCTGATACACATCCCTGAGGTGGTAGTATATTTGTCATGTTCAGAACAGAAGGAATCTCAGCGGTGATAAAAATTACAATGCAAACAGAGAAGAGGGCCTTCTAGACCATACAAGCAGTTTGGATTGTATTATTTTTGAGATGGAATCTATTGGAGGATTTGTAAACACAAAAGTGAATGAAGAAAAGAAATCAGTCAAGTGAGGATGTAAAGGGAAAATATCCTAGGCAGAGAAAACAGTTCATACACATCCCTGAGATGGTAGTATATTTGTTACTAAGTCTAGTTTACAAAAGATCGCTCTTAACTTCCCTGTGGAGAATAGAGATTCAGGAATGGAAGCAGGGAGACTATTTAGGGAATTACATTGATTTCAATAAGGGGAGATGATGGTGGCATGGATTAGCTGGTAGCACTGCAGAGAGACAGATTAATAGAGTTAAGTATCTTTTAATAAAAAGCCCAGCAGAATTTATGGACTTGAAATGAAGGGTAAAAGATAGAACCCCTAATTTTTTCCCCTGAACAGTGATGTTATTTACTTCAGTGGAGAAGATTGAGAGAAACAGGTTTGCTTAAAGTGGTAAGGAAGGTGAATGGAGTTAAGAGTCAGATGAGGATGTCAAGTAAGTGTCAGGCACATAAGCTCGAAGCTCAATGGAAAATCAGAGATTCAACAGATGTACATAACAAATACCTGAAGGTCTATAGAAGTTGAACTGCATTGTAAAGGTTGTTTTAAAAGATAGGAGATTAAGACATTTAGATGAATACAGTGTGCTAGAATCATTTTTATGTCTTCAAGATTCATTTTGTACGTTTTAGTATGTGGACTTTGCAGGTTGTGCTAGGCAAAACAATGTACCTCTTGCTTCCCCTTACAGCAAAGCATGTGTTCTCATTTGTCTCTGTGGCATGGATTCCGAAAAAGTTCGATGGTGAAATTCTGTCAGAGTAATTGGATTCTTAGGATGCTTTTGTAGTTCTTCATAAGTACAGTATAAAGTTCTAACTTCTTGCTCTCTTTCAATGCCCCACATATTCTGGACCCATTCTACCAATTCAGCAAGTACCCACCATTCCAAATGGACACAACTCCTCACCCCCCATGGTATGCAGTGCTTTTCTTTCCAAGCTTCATTCTCTCCTCTGACGTGCTTTTTTTTAGCCACTTGCTCTAAGGCCCAGAGATGGGCCTTTGATTTCTCTTAACTTTCCTGCAGCATGAACTGATACTTCTGTTCTCTAAGTTCTGTAGTGTATCTGAATATACTGCTTATTTTAATACTCAGCACCAATACATTGCCTTAAGGTGTTATCCAATGTATAGATTTTGTTTTCTCTTAACATGTAAGCTCTTTGAAGCAAAAGACCATGTTTATAATTCCTTTGAATCCTTGTGTGCTAGCATGCTGTTGATTGATAGTAGATCCTTAGCGAATAATTTTCCTTTTAACTGTTTGAATAGAACTGTTTTCACTATACTGTCTCTAATGATAGACATTTTTTTTTCTTTAGGCTTTTCAAGATCTTCCAAACACATTGGATGAAATTGATGCTTTATTAACTGAAGAAAGATCAAGAGCATCGTGCTTCACGGGACTGAATCCTACAGTATGCCTCTTTCTCTGTTCCTATTCTGCAGCTGCTGCTACTTGTACCCTGCACACACACACACACACGCATGCACACACAGTTCCCTCCAGTCCTTGCCTCCCACTCTGTACTAGAGCTCTTGGTAATAATAAGCTAGACAGCAGGAACAATGTGCTTTAAATGCCAGATTCTGAATCTATTAGAATTTTAAATAGATCCTTCCTAAGGAACACAGTGTTCTGTGTCTTTTCTTTATAAAAAAGAATAGTTGGGTTAACTGGAAATACTGCAATATCTATTTTTTTCAGGATTAAAAGCCATTTTCAATATGTAATAACAAATTAATTGTATACAAACAGTACAGTACAATTGACCTTTTCAGATAATATTATAATTGATGCAGATTTTTGTATAATTTTATCCTTTGACAGATTTATCTTAAAGAAATATCTCTTCTCCTACCAGGTGGTTCAGGAATACACAAAAAGAGAAGAAGAAATACTGCAGTTAACCGAGGAACTAAAGGGAAAGAAAGTTGAACTAGACAGATATAGGGAAAATATTTCACAGGTAATATTCAAATTTTTGTCTTTTTTATCATGTGCTTGCCATAAGTGATACAGACAAGTAGAGTAATACAAAATGGAGTGATAATACTCCTACAAGAAAAAATGTGTTCTTGTGACCACATTGATAGTTAATAAAAAATTTGTCTTATGTAAAGTTTTGTATCAGAATTTAATAATAATTCTTTTTAAAGTGCATTTTTATATTGCCTTTGTTTTTAGGTAAAAGAACGGTGGCTAAATCCCTTAAAAGAGCTAGTAGAAAAAATTAATGAAAAATTCAGCAATTTTTTTAGTTCTATGCAGTGTGCTGGTGAAGTTGATCTCCATACAGAAAATGAGGTAACATTGCATTTGGAATATATTTCCTGGCAAATAATAACTACTTATATTCTAAAAGTACATAAAAAAGTATTTACCCTAGAGTTACATCTTTTCTTATTTGCTGAAAAATTACCCAGAGGAAGTGAAAAAAACATCTAGGAGATTCCATTAGGATTGCGCCACCTTCCTCTCACCTCCGGAATGGTAGTGTTTGAGATGAATGACTCATGCCTTACTAGCTCTGTTTGTATCCATTCTGAATGTTTTAGTCTGCTTCCCTAACAGAACACAATAACCAGGAGCCACAACTTAAAAGGAGAGAGGTTGAGATTCAGTTTCAGGGGATTCAGGCCATGGTCTCCTGGCACCAAGGTCATTGCAGAAGGGCATGGTGGAGCAGGCTACATCTTTCATGGTAGCAGGGAAGCAGAGGCAGGGGACAGCGCCACAGAGGAAGGGGCTGGGGACCTGTTGTGTGCCTCCGTGACCCACCCAGACCAGATCTCATTTTTAGAGTAAATCTCAGCCTCTGTGACTTAGAAATGACAACATGGATAAGAATAGTAAATCTAGCCAGGCGTGGTGGCGCACATTTGTAATCCCAGACCTTGGGAGGCTGAGGCAGGAGGATCACTTTGAGTTTGAGGCCAGCCTGAGCTACAAAGTGAGTTCAAGGCCAGCCTGAACTGCATAGTGAGACCCTGTCTCAAAAAAAATTTTTAAAAAAAAGAATAATAAATCTTGGAGCAGACTCAACTTTGGGAAAATATATAAAATATTGAATGTATTAATGACAACAGTATTTATTCATTGATCATCTATAATGTGTCAGATTTATTTTTACAAAGTATTGTGTGTATAGCATTTTTTTGTATGGCATTGAGTATATAAATATATAACATGTATTAATATGGCATATTAAATTTTAAAAATATAAAAATTCCTACTGTTTTTTTAACCAGTTGAAGGATTGGGGAGTACTATGTAGCCCTCTGCAGGAGTGTCCACCGCTGCTTCTCCAGCAGAAAATGGCATGGCACTGCATTGTATTTTATTTTATTTTATTTTTATTATTTTTATTTTTTTTGGTTTTTCTCCGGTACCGGGAACTGAACTCACAACCTTGCGCTTGTGAGGCAGGCGCTTTGCCGCTGAGCTAAATCCCCAGCCCCTGCTTTGTATTTTAGTTATTTTCACTTACAGTTTTACAATCTAGTACTTTGGAATTAGAATAGATAGTGCTTTTCTATGAAAATTCTCACTTGGTAATTTCTAAAAATTCTTAGGAAAGTCTGATAAAGTTGAAAAGAGTGGTACCAAGTAAGGAAAAGGTCACTTTTAATCTGAATCAGTCCTTTGTTTTTAAATAATAGAGCTTTGGAGGCTCTTAAAGTGTTTAGGTAGTAACTTTAATGTTTTACTGTTTTACTTTTAAATTGACATTATTAAATTTTAAGTTCTTCACTCTTACTGTTGATACATTAATTTATTTTCAAATTTTAAAATCTTTTATAGGAAGACTATGATAAATACGGAATTCGAATTAGAGTCAAATTTCGCAGTAGTACTCAGTTGCATGAATTGACTCCTCATCATCAAAGTGGCGGTGAAAGAAGTGTTTCTACCATGCTATACTTGATGGCACTTCAGGAGCTTAATAGGTGTCCATTTAGAGTAGTTGATGAAATTAACCAGGTACAGTCAGTATTCTTTCATTTGGATCTTATCGTGTCCTGCAGGAATTACAGCTGTAATCATTATTACTGTCATGATTTAGGGTATGGACCCCATCAATGAACGAAGAGTATTTGAAATGGTTGTAAACACTGCCTGTAAAGAAAACACATCTCAGTACTTCTTTATTACACCAAAGGTAAGTAGTTAGTAACCTCACAGTACTCATACACTCAGAAGTCTTTGTGTCTCAATTGTAAAGCAGATTTTGGCCCAGTATATAAATATGAGCAGGAACACTCGTTAAAAAGATTGCAATAAGGAATTTATATAAGGAATAAGTTCCAGTGACATACTTAATCAGAAATCACATTATTCGAAGAAGAAATGTAAGAGGTATATCATGTTCTAGAACCAAGATTTCTTCCCTGCTTGGCATGCATTACTCTTACAGAAAACTTCCTCTTCTAGCACTAAAAGGTAACGGAGGAGTGTAAACTGCAGCCCGTAGCCTTCTCCATGTCCCCTGAAAGGCCTGACCTGCCCCTCTGTATTTATCACTTCTAACCTGACCTAGAGGAAATTGAAAGTATCTCAACATCTTTTACATACAGATTAATATTGATAATAACACAGTTATTGTTGCAGAAAATTTTTCATAATCTAGACCAGTAATGGCAAACCTTTCAGACCTTTCAGTGATACAGACAGCCCACTGTAGCATGTGTGGCATATGTTTGCCACCACTGATCTAGACCATGGCAATGGGGAGTTTTCTTTTGTTATATCCATGGCTACAGGTAAATTATGAAGGTTATGTACTCAAGGGTGTGTTTATTAATATAATCAGGTTTTTCTTTCATTTTTTTCAGTGAACTTTCATGAAAAATTTTGAGAACCCATCCTAAATTCAAATTTCTTTTGGATTTTATTACCTAACTAGATCTGCTAAATACCTTATTTTTCTACCAAACACTTTGGCCTATAAACCAAACACTCCTAGCTACCAGTTTATCACAGTGCTTGACTCTAGAAGTTTTATGAGAAGTGTTTATGGTTAAAAGGAAAAATACCAATCCTAGGAAATGTTGGGAGTTGTATATCAGTTATCCTGTGAAATATAGAGGACGCCCAAGCATGTCAGTTGTTGGGCCAATTAGGTGTGCTAATGGAAGCAGTGATCCTAACTTAATAAGGTTTGTATTAAGGTGTTGGAGAGCTTCGTAAGAGTTTTGTTAACATAATATCATAATATGTTTGGCTGTACACATGGATGGTTGGAAAACTGCTTCTCAGTGTGTAGAATTATGTGACAGTTTATTTTAATGCCTACAGCTCCTGCAAAATCTTCCTTATTCTGAAAAGATGACAGTGTTGTTTATCTACAATGGTCCTCATATGCTGGAATCAAATAGGTGGAATTTAAAGGCTTTCCAGAGGCGGCGCCGCCGTATTACGTTTACTCAGCCTTCTCAGTAAAAGTAAACAGAAGAAACTTTCAGAGTTTTTGTTGTTATTGTTGTTGTTAAATTCTGTTAATAACTATGGTTTAATTGAATAAAAGTTAAGAGATTTATTAAAATAGAAAAGTGGTTATTTTTTGAAACCTGCTCTTTAATACAAAAGGTTAATGAGGACCGGGCGTGGTGGCACATGCCTATAATCCCAGCACTTGGGAGGCTGAGGCAGGAGGATCACTGTGAGTTCGAGACCAGCCTGGGCTACAAAGTAAGCTCAAGACCAGCCTGAACTGCATAGTAAGACCCTGTCTCAAAAAGACAAAAAAAAAAGGCTGATGAAATAGAGATTTTGATCTCTTTCTCTGGAACATCTCTGGTGGTAATAGTTACGTCTTCAGTCTTAGTTGAACTTGAGGCCTTAGTACTTTGACTGTGAGTTCCTGGATTCCCAACATTAAAGGAATTTACTATTGCAAATCAGAGGTATGATGGTACTAGGGTTGTCAATCATAAGCCACATAGTAGCCCTCAGCTTTAATTGCAGAATAATTTTAGTTACTTTTAGAGCCTAAAGATGACTCTAGAACTTAAAACCTAGTTTTTCCCAGTGTTACATTTAATTTTTTGAAATTGATATGGAAATGTCTAATGTATAATAATAATTTATGACAAATATATTCATTTTTTTCTATTAAAACATTATCTCCACTAGGAAATGGATTTTTATGGCCTATGAAAAAAATTTTTTGAAATGATGCTATAATTGTATTGGTATGGGAAAAGGAAAAAGCATTGGGCTTGAAAAAACAATAGTATGACTTCTTTGAAATGTCACAAGGTGGCCTCTAGATGATGCTAAATGCTGCCAAAAGATTGACAGAATAAAATCAGGTGACAAGGGTTTTTTAAAGAATAACCTTATAAAGTATGTGTGGGTTTTTCTTGTTTTGTTTTTTAATTTAAAGTCAATAGTATTTTACATCTTAAATTTCTAAAAAACATTTTTATAATTATTTTTAGTAAGATTTTCTTAAGATTTCATATACTGGTTTCTACAATTTGTATTTGAAATTTCTCAGTGCTATGTAAGAGGGAAAGGCATTGATTTGTTTAAAACTGTAATGTTTTAGAATAAAGCTAATAGGTCCTTCCTTACAGTGTTGATCTACCCATTGAAAATCTAGTTGAAACTATTGTCTTTCAGATTGAAAGAACTAGATGAGAAAATTATTCATTTACCTCTGTGTTATGCTAATTAACAGTGCCCAACAAATTCTATTCTTTTAAAAAATAAATCTTGTAAGAAAATGGACTATCCCAAGGACATGTTTTTGATTTGGATTGACTGTGCTGGTAATGACAAAATCATATTTTTGACTTGTTAGGCTGCATAATTTGAAGAATTGCATTGTTTGAGTTTTACATGTTCTTATATAGCCATTGAAATTTGTATTTGTATTAGGTCAGAAATAATGAACTGTGAGTTTATATTCTCTCCCTTAGGCATTTTTCTCTTTGAAAAAGTACTTTTTCTTTATAAATAAAATTTTAAAAGTCCTCTCTTAAACTAAGTCTAATGTGTGAAACACGAAAATATTTTTAAAATATTTTCACTAGGGTGAACAAATCATATGAACTTGGAAAAACGTGGTAACATTTGAGTACATGGGTATTACCAAACATTTCTGTTAACTTTGTTCTCCACTACGTTACTAATACATTCTGTGGTGGAGTTTATTGTCTAAATTAGTACAAGTCACCAATTTCTGCAAGATGAACTCTGTGAAAAATAAGTTTCAACCTGCCTGGCAAGCACAAGGTCCTGAGTTCTGTTGCCAACCCAAAAGATAATAAGCTTGAAGATTAATCATTTCTGAAAGTAAAATGGTCAATTACATTTCAATTTACATTTGCCAACAATTATTTCATACCTTGTTTCTAAGCATTTGTATTTCTGTACTGAACAAAGTTAATATTTGGGTTTACCTTGAATTTTGAGCTGTGAAGGATAAATTATGTATCATTTTTAACATCTTAAGGAAAAATAAGGTTAGCACATTACAGTCTTAGGTACTTAAAATTTCATGTTTTCTGCAAATGTTGATTTTTAATTATATTCAAATTGTAAAAAGTAAAATGCCTAATTTGCTGAATAGGGTGATATTTAAAACTTTAAGGTGACAAGCACTTTTTGAAGACTAAATCTTCACAGATTTGCCTAAGGAGAGTCTCTGTTAAAAGGTTTTCCATATTCAAAGTAAGAAGAAAGATTTCCTGCTGCTTTCTGTCTTTTGGACATATGCCTATTTTCTTTGCAGTATGAACCTTTAGTATGTGAAAAAATGTAATTTTGTTCTGCTATTGTGTATGTACATGTGTATAATTGTTTAAAACTCTGTGTTGGAAATATTACTTTGTTGGTAATAAATACGTATTTTCATATTCTTTTGGTGTATGTTATTTAAAACAAGAACTTTGTGTACTTTGAACCATAATAGTCATTTTAGTTTTTGGGTTTACTGAACAAATCTTCTGAATGCCCACCATTTACAAAGCAGGTTTCAGCCATCTATTAGGGTTCAGAAGGGTGAAAGTTTAGTTCCTTATCTGCCTGCAATGAAATTACACTCTAATGGAGTAGTAAACACACAGAAAAAAGTGTTCAAACCACTAAAAGAAGCCAAGCTGTGAGGTAAGTATATTTTAATGTTGAAACAGTAAATGTGCATGGCTGGGGATTTAGCTCAGTGGCACAGAGCCTGCCTGGTAAGCGCAAGGTGGTAAGTTCGATTCCCAGTACAGGGTGGGGGGACAAAACAGTAAATTTGCTAAAAACATGCCCAATGGCAAATTTTTTCTTATTTTTTACATTAAGCTACTGTCTTGGTTACTTTTCTCTCGTTGCTGAGACAAAATACCCAGTGCTCCAAATGAAGGAAGGAAAGGTTTATTTAGCTTACAGTTTGTGGAGGTTTCAGTCCATCCTTGGCTGGCTCCGAGGCAGAAGATAGCAAAGCAACAAGAGCAAAAGGGGGAATGGCAGTGCATGCAAGCCTCTCCCTTATGTTATAAGAAGGCTACACCCACCCAGGGGCAACACTCACATAGTTAACCTTCTAAACTTCTCACATTGACAGAGTGAACAACATCCTAGAGCAGGAAGGGCATGTCCTTTGCACCCCAGGATGTAGAACTGCCGAGTCACTTAGCCAAACCTCCAGACTCCTCAAGTTGACATAATGTATCAATCATAACAACTGCTATGTAACTTTTAAAATGTGTTTTGAAGGAACCAGAGTTTGTCACTTGCTTGCAGACAGGTTACTTAAAGTTTCTACACTGATGACATGAGAATGATACTAATCCATAGAATCACTCAGAAGATAAAACGAGATCAGGAGCCTAATTAGGGAGTCTGCCATCATAGTATGTGCTTTATATATGTCTAATTCTCATGTTGAATCTTGAAAAATTTACTGTATACTTTATCCCACAAAGTCTGAATTCTAAGTAAGGTTAATATAGAGGTTTTGTTTCTTTTTTTATGGATAAGTATTGTCAGTTCAGAGGATACAGATGTCTACAGACTGAGCACTGGCTATTACAGACACAGTTTTTTTCATGTTACAACCTTCAGGAAACTTGAAAGTAAGTTAAGTGAGCTACCCTAATGATATTTATGCTAATCCATCTCATTGTTTTATAGTGCAACGATATTTTGGGGAATGTATAATTAATAGAATTTGAAGTTTTGGACATTTGACTATGCTGACAGTTTGGGCTTTGGGCTTATATTTCAGTGGTAGAGTTGGGTATGAGGATTTTTTCTTGTTTTCCCTGTACCAGTGATTGGACATATGGTCTTCACACTGAACTCGCCCAGCTGTGTTTTGTTTTTGTTTTTTTGAGATAGAGTCTTATTAAATCACTAAGTTGCGCAGGCCAGACTGGCACTTGGAATCTTCCTGCCTTGGCCTCCCAGCGTGCTGTGATTACGAACATGGGCCACCACAGCTAGCCTCATTTTTTTATATTGAAATAGAACAAGTTGTGTGCCAATAACATGAGCGTCAGCAACAGGCCCCATATGTGATGGCTCCATGAGATTGTGTTGCCTAATGCCATTAGAGCCCTTCTAGTTTATGTAGATGTGATGTTCACACGATGAAATTGGTTGATTCTCAGAATTTGACCCTATCGTTAAGTGATAAATGATTGCATTTACTCATCCACCAAACTAAGCTTCAGGCAATTGTCTGGAAGATACAGGTACTCTATATATTTTTAAAAAAACCTTGGAAGAGAAAATACGAGGCTCAGTCTTTTTTAGCTTCATTATAGGTTGTGCTGAGGGGACTGGAAGCTCAGGGCTACCTAGAAACAGTTCTGGCTCTGGCTCCACCTTTATTCAGAGTCTGCAGTATGGGTGAGCTATTTCTAGGCAGGTCAAAAACACCTGAAAGATGTTCGCTTTCCACAAGTATTGTTACCTAGCCTGTCTGGCTGCCTCTCAAGAGACTCTTACATACATACTCATGGCATTCAGTCTGCGTTTCAAATGAGGAAGAAAGGGTGATGTACCGATAGGGCCACACACTCATTCATACTAGTTTTTTAATAAGAAATGGGCTGAAAGAATTCTAGTGTAAGAAAAAATAGGAACAAAAGGTGTAATAAATGTTATAATGAAATAATAAATTTTACTTTTTTTTTTTTTTTGTCTTTTTGAGACAGGGTCTCGCTATGCAGTTCAGGCTGGCCTTGAGCTCACTTTGTAGCCCAGGCTGGTCTTGAACTCGCAGTGATCCTCCTGCCTCAGCCTCCCGAGTGCTGGGATTATACGTGTGCACCACCACACCCGGTTTATCTTCATATTATTTAAAATCTTAGTTTATTCCTAGTGTTGATATATCATGTTCTTTACCTTCACATGTTAGATGTTAAACTAAGGAAGATTACTCCAAGCAGCTTAGGCCATCCCTTTTTCATAGTCATAAGTCATGAAAAGGAAACCTTTGAGTTAGGCTAACACTGATGCCTAAATGTAAGTTATGTTGTAAACTAGATGTTACAGTAATTTGTATGCTTATTTGTTTATATTACACTTTATATGTAC